CTGTCATTAAGTGTCATTCGCTCAGTTATGTCATTTTTAATGCAAATATGACATTATTTGACCTAACCCTACCCTTACCCCTAACCATAGCCCATAACAAAGACATCTCAAACAATGTCAGCTTTGCATTAAAAATTACATAACTGAGCAAGTGACACTTAATGACAGTTGTCATAAACATGCATAAAAAACCCTTCATATTCATGACATGTGTCATGTCATGTTTATGTAGGTGTCATGTCATGATTATGAAGGTGTCATGTCAGTCTTATGCACACCCCTTCAAGTAAAGTGTAACCGAAAAGCCTTGGCTACTCTTCACCTGAATTAGAAAAAAAAGCTCTTCTGGTGTTCAGTGATGCGAGGACAACGTTTGAGCGTGTACACGCAATATCTGAGCGAGAGCAGAGCCAATTCATAAAATAAAAAAAAACAATGTATAGTTAAAAGCACACGTCCAGTTTTGTATGAGTGAAGGAAATCCGCTTGCGGATTCTTGCGGTGAGATTCTTACTCACGCATTACATGGATCGCGTAACATTATGCGCTCTCGACGTTTGTCATTAAGATCACGCTATAGAAACCGCTTACAATTAAGTATAAAGAAGAGAAGAAAAGGATTTTAAAACTCCTGTAGTGTGAGCCCGGCTTTAGTTTGTCCAGCAGAGCGCGCTCCATTGTTTGTTACTGGCGACCCAGGTCACTGCAGTGTAGGATGAGCTCAAACTTCACCCGAGTCCGCTGCTTCAAATTATCGGCCCGCCACCCACCCGCACCTATATTTGATCGTTACATTACACTGATTCTAATTCTTAATTTTGCGTGATGATATGATGAATGGATGGTTCCTTTTTAACAGCAGACGTTATAGCTGATCTGCGCATCACTGCATGCGTCTGCAGCACACCGGAGCTGATCACGGCAGTCAATGCTTGTGTTTATATCATACATCCCAGAACTCATGCTTATCACATCGGTCACGTCACATTTCCTAAATCAGCTTAGTTTGTCAGTACAGTCAGTAACGTAGCAGATTGAAAAATTAGTATCTCTCTGCAGTCCAATAGACGGCAGTGCGGTGGTGGCTTGAGTCTGTTGAGTTATTTAACACGTTGTCACCTAGTTGGTGGGGCACAATGCTATAAAGTACATAAACAATGTCCCTTCTTTTACTCTCACAATGAGTTTATCATACTCGTTTGCTACATTAGCAGGGCCCTATGATTTCCGCGATGCAGAAAACGTGGACGGAAGCACGGAATCCATTCATAAAAACGGAATTTACTGTATAACGCGGATTTTCATGGAATGTCATATTTTTGATGAATAAATAAAAAACAGGTCAGTACACTTAAATCAAATCGCGATATAGACTAGTGTCTGTGAATATTAAACTGCAAAAATACTATTTAAATACGATTCCTCATGTTCTGCGTGTTCATTTGATTACCAGAAAATACACAACACAGAATTTGTGAGAAAAAAAAAAATAATTATTATTATTCATTTTAGATGTTTACATTTGGAAAAGCTGTGCTTCCTGCATAAACCTGCCCCTGTTGGATTGGCAGTAGCTTGTTACACAGTTACCTTGTTTTTTTTTTCTTTATTCAGGTTAAATACGAATCCTGATGTTCTGTGTGTTCGTTTAATTACCAGAAAATACACAACAGAAAAAATATATTATTCATTATTATTATTTATTCATTTTAGATGTTTACATTTGGAAAAGCTGTGCTTCCTGCATAAACCTGCCCCTGTTGGATTGGCAGTAGCTTGTTACACAGTTACCTTGTTTTTTTTTTCTTTATTCAGGTTATATAAATATATTGTTCTATTTGTGTTTTAAAGTTATTTATAATAAGTGATGTGAAGTGTACTGTTAAGTGCACTGATGTCAGGCTCATTTTGGATAATAAAGTTTATTGTTAAATTGTTAAATACCCTGCCTCCATTACACATTTTTGTCACATCATTATAAGTGTTTGATCACAACATTTGAGTTATCATTGCTAAAAATGTGTTTATGTATATATATTCTGTTTATGTATATACTGTATTCTATCCTATATACAGTACCAGTCAAAAGTTTGGACACACGAATGGCAAGTGTCCAAACTTTTGACTGGTACTGTACTATAAAATGCACATAAAGTATCTGACTTTTTTTACTCCCTAATATCGGTATCGGCATCGGCCCCAAAAAACCCATATCGGTCGGGCTCTACTATATGTACATACATGCATGTATATATATATATATATATATATGTATATATATATACAGTATGTATATATGTATATGCTTCCGAACTTGATTGGCAAGATTGTGATCCCAATTTCATTACAATGGCAAGTAGGGCTGCAAAGGGTCAGAAATCGTCCAGTGAATTTCTGGAAACTTTCCAAAAGTGTCCAAAATATAACAAAGTTTTCCAAAAACTTCTGGAAACTTTCAGGAAATTTACAGGAAAATTTCCACCCCTTTTCAACCCTAATGGCAAGCCATTTGCCAACTTAGCAGACATTGCAACCATTCCATGTCTGATATTTATGGAATTTCATGCTTGTCTGATAGAGTTTGATAATTGAACGGATCATTTTGCATCTAACGGCTCACACGATGAAAGAGCGTTCAGAAGTTGTGAAGAGTTTGACAGTTTCACTGTGAATCAGCTCATCAGTTTTGATCAAGTCATGTGCATTTAGTTATTGTGCAAATTTTAGACAATAGCACTTTTCCACACATGTGCCGAAACACATGCAGTTTGCTTAAATCAATCAAATAAATTAAAATCTTGTTGTTTTGAGAAAAAAGCGAAACAAAAAAAAACCTCTCATTTGAGAACTGAGCCAAAGCGACTGAGAAAACTAGAAGCCTGGCCAGTTTGAACGTCTAAGCATTCAAGCTTAATACGAATAAGAGCTTTTTTGGGACATTTCTGCATCAGTCTATATGAAGTTAAGAGTGGTGTTTCTATCTGTCTTTGTACCCAGGGTTCCTGAGTTTGTGAAGGAGAAGCGCTTTGGCAACTGGCTGCGGGACGCTCGAGACTGGGCGGTCTCTCGAAACCGTTACTGGGGGACGCCCATCCCACTGTGGGTCAGCGACGACTATGAAGAGGTCAGTTATGGATCATCAGCATTTTGCAGCCTTTTTTGTATTTCATATCTCGATGTATTTGCTTTAGAATCGCTTAAAAGTCATGAAGAGGTCAGTTATGGATCATCAGCATTTTGCAGCCTTTTTTGTATTTCATATCTCGATGATGTATTTGCTTTAGAATGGCTTAAAAGTTGGAACCCTTTTAGCCATTGTGGATTCAAGATATTTCATGCAAAAATAAAAATAAAAGTCATCATAAAAATTAAAGGCACGTTTATACACTGCTTTTAAATTAACAGAAGGAAGAATGATGTATTATTTATTTATTGATTGGTTAAAAAAAATACATAGTAATAAAGAATCGTTTTTACCTACTGATATTTTTATTATAACGTTTTTGACACGGTTTTTATAAAACTTAATTTAAAAATAAAAGCCAAAATTTTTATAATATAAGTTGGACAATTAAAAAAAATAAATAAAATTGAATTAAAATCATCTTGATATTCATAATATTGCTTAATTTGATATGAAGCTAAAATCATTCTGAATGTTCCTCCCAGTGCTAACTGTGTTTTGTCAAATCTGTGTGAACTTGATGCCGAATCTTCTTAGAAGGATAACTGTCTTAAACGTTGGTAATGGTCTTTAAGTGCTCTTATTAGCGTGCTTTTCTTAGAAGCTCAACTTGTGGGAAGTCAGAATGAGGTTGTTGGTGTGTGCCTGCTGAAGCGAGCTGCTGGAAAAGAAGGACAGCGACCTGCTTCCTGAAAATAGCATATAATAAGTTGTTTCCAGGAGCGAGTCTCTGGAGGGCCACCGGCTCCCCGAGCGGAGCGGAGCGGGGCCAGAAAGCACAGCTCTCTTGAAAACGGGGACAGCGGCCCAGCCTCGCCGCTCACTTTTAGTAACACACTTTATGGTAAACTTCACTGCCCACCTGGAGAATATCAAGGTTGTCCTGCTTTTTGGCCAGTGTTAAGTTTGCACTAAAATGTGAAATGTGCCTATTGTTACACGAGTACTTGTAACATTACTCTTATTTTCTTCTGGATGTATAAAATTCTCTTTGGATAATGAAATATTTTTCCCAACAGTCTGATAGTTCTTGGACAGTTCATATCTGCGTTGTACAGTGCTGGCCAAAATTATTAGAGCACTAGTATTTTAACCAGCTAAAAATGGTTTCTCCGAGACGCTTCAAGAAACCTCCTGCAAAGCTACAGCGCTGTTAAAAGTTTTAGGCACTTGTGTAAAAATGCTGTAAAAAACAGATTCTCTTGATCAATTAACTTCTATGAACTAAATGAAATCAACATTTGGTGTGAGCATCTTTGTTGTGCGTGTGTCTGTGTCTGTGTGTGTGTGTGTGTGTGTGTGTGTGTGGCAGTATTGACGGCCTGACCATCCCGTCCCGCTGTGGGAAGGGGCAGCTCAAGAGGGTCTTGGAGGTGTTCGACTGCTGGTTCGAGAGCGGCAGTATGCCCTACGCTCAGGTGCACTACCCGTTTGAGAACAGGCGTGAGTTTGAGGACGCCTTCCCGGCCGATTTCATCGCTGAGGGCATCGACCAGACCAGAGGATGGTGAGAAACCCTTCGACTGTTCATCCATGGAGCTGAGTATGAGTAGATCTCACAGAAAGATCATATGACTCCAAAAACCAAAATACAATTTTTTTGTATTTTTAGAGATTGAGGGCCAGTGCTAATATTATAGAGAGCAGGTGCATATATATGATGTTGCACTGTTTGATTTAAAGAGCGTAAATAACGCAGGATGAAATTAAATGTGTTTTTATTTTACATAAAAGTAGCTAAATTAGAAATAAATAACTTAAAAATGGATCAATATAAAAGAAATCTGAACTTGATTAAAAAAACAACCTGTAAAATAAAGTGTATTCTTGAGATGTTGAATTATTGTAGTATTTTTGCTAAGACAAATTTCCCACTGAATTCTCATTACTGTAGGGAAAAAGTGCTACATTGTAAAGTATAAGCTCTGACATAAACATCATTATAGTAGGATGCAGTAATTAATTAGTAGAAATAAATTAATAGTAGTTTAATTAATTGCTCTTTTAGATTTTTGATGATTTTTTTTTATTACTATTAGAGTAATGCCATTGAGATTTTTCTTTTCTTTTTTCCCTATTGCATTAATGAAAACTGGGAGGGAGGGGTGAATTTCTTTAGGAAAAATCTTACCAATATTTTGGGGTTAAATTTGACCCAGACACTTCATAGTGAGATCCACCCTTTTTTTATAGTGTATCAGTTGAATAATACAGAGACATATGACTGCAGCTTATTCCACACACTTCATTTATGATTCCCACACATTTGCCGTGAATCCACCAAACATCAGAATCTCAGTTTTAGATCACTTATTAATTGTTTATTGAAAAAGCATGCAAAACAGCCTTATGCTCTAACATCTGGGGTTTAAAAAAAACATTTTACATCCTGAGCACTGTATTTAAAGAGAATAAATGTATTTACACAGGAAACACAGTCACTGTACATCAGTCTCAGACACACACAGACACACACACACACACACACACACACACACACACACACACACACACACACACACAGAGAGACACAGACACACA